TCTATAATCCTTGAGGTATTATAATTTTTTTGAATTTTAGAGACATTTAACACCACGGAGACTTTTATAAAAGTCTCCGTGGTGCTAATTTTTAAAAGTCTCCGTGGTGCTAATTTTTAAGCAGAAAGTACTCAAACAAAACCTCAAATTTTGTCTCTCATTAAAACATAGTGTTGGGATGTGCAAGATAGCTAGTTGTTACCAAAATATCACTACAGTCAAATTTCGATAAATCGATAAATTAATATTATCTCTGTTTCATAAAGATAAGATTGTTTTTATTTTCACACAGATTAAGAAAATGTAAATAATATTATTGAAAATATAAATTTTTCTTACATTTTTCTAATGTATCCTTACATTAAATAATTGTTTAAATATTATTAGTTTATATTTGTTAATAATAAGGTACATTAAATAAAGGCATATTAAAAAGCTAAAAAAATATCTATACTTCCAATAAAAAAAGTAATTATTTAATCTTACAGTATTTGAAAGATTTCTTTTGAACAAATAGTTGATAAAACACAAGTATCATCTAAATCATGATCTTCGATAGGCGTATTCAGTACTGTTCGCTTGAAAATATACCGCAAGTGCACGGGTTGCGTACAAGTAATAAAGTGGACTTTTTGAGTCCGGATTGTCGATCCCTCGAGGAATGTTACTTTAGATTACACGACTTTAATCAATTTAATTCTAACAATCAAATGAAACACACACAATTAAACATTAGATTTGAAAAGCGGTAAATAAACTAAAAAATCTACAAAATAAGAAAAACACAAATACTTGGAGATTTCGGATGAAGAACGTGGTTGGGATTCATGGTTTCGTTTAACCATCGCTTAATTAATTTCTCTACAAGCCAATTAATGAATTACTCATTTACTATGTTAGACCCGATCTTCCAATTTTAGTTAATTACCTCTCTCGAGTGAAATTAACCCTAATTGATTGGCTTAACGTACTATATCTCTATGTCGATTACAACCAAACAATCGCATTCAATCATTGTGAAAATAACTCGTTGGGTCACCTAGGGCTAATGGCATATCTCTATCCATTACACAAACCTAGGGTTCCTACTATTTGGTCTAAAATGCACAATCTTCTCTCGAATGATGTACAAATCACTAAACACAATCATCTATTGGCCACATAAATGAAAATGCATGGAAAACAATAGTAGAAACACATGAAAATAAGCAACTTAAAATCAAAGGGCAAATATAGAAATTAATCAAGGCTAGGTCAACTAATTCCACAAATCCCAACACAATCAATTAGCCCATTTTATACATTTGATAACAAAGGAGAATATGCATAACATTCATTATAAAAATGGTAAAATAAATCAGAAAATACAAAGTATAGGTAAAACCCCTTTTTTTGATGCTTGGCTTTGATTTTCCCAAATACTTCTCCAAATCTTTGATTGAATCTCCTTGTGCTCTTTGATTTAATCTCCAAAATACCAAGCAAAAATGAAAAGAAAAAGGAAGAGAAGAGAAAATGAAGGAAGAAAGAAAAGAAAAGAAAATGGAAGAAGAAGAAAAGAGAGAAAAACTCTCAAACTCTATCTAAAGATTCTCTACAAACTCTCTCATAGGGTTTGAATCATGAGATTTGCTCTTTAAATACTCCAAAAATCGAGCACAAAGAAAAGCCCAAAATGCTCACAAGTTTCTGATTTTCGGGAATTTTTAACGCACATGTGCGCGGGTGTGCACCATTCCAGAAGTGAAGTGCGCGGGTGCGCACTTTTGATGAAATCACAAATTGCGCAGGAGGTCCTCAGGATAATTTGCATAGTTAGTCCCTCAACTTTGATAAGTGGCATTTTGGTCATCGGATTTTGACTTTTATATCAATTATACCCTTCATAAATTGCATCCAAGATCCTCCAACTTTTGGCACCTGTGCACTTGGTCCCCAACTTCACAATTGTTGTACACTTTTAGTCATTTTCTTCTCCTTTTTGCATCGTTCTCCTTCTTATCGGGATTTTTGCCTACAAACGTGAAAATTACACAATTATGCATAGAAATATACTCAATTTCATTTATATTTAAATCCAAAAGAGTGTCAAATAAGTGTGTTTTTATACACTTATCAAATACCCCTTGAATATAAATTTTTTCACTATTTTATCATCATATAATTTTCATTTTGATAATTCAAGAAATGCTCGATATACATCATATTTTTATAGTATTGACTAAAAGTGATGTGATGACTTCAAGCAATGAATCGATAAATAAATATATCTATTTAAGTTAATAATTTTTCTCAATTTCAATATTATTATATATTTTCCAGAGTTTTTACTAAAATTTCTAAACATAATTGATGAGTGTTTCACTCGCGCCTTTATTACTAATTTAACTTGATAACTTTTTAGGTCTATTGAGTTTTTAGAGCGTTTTGATGTGTGTTAACGTTGTTTTGTAATATTGGTGAAAAAGAGCTAATCATGGAGTTTGAAGAAACCGAAGAGCGAGTGAAATAAATTCAGATGAAGAGTAATTGAAATCATCCAAAGAAGGCAAAGGAAAAAAGGCTAAGTCGAAGAAAAATGAAGAAGTTCACAAAGCTCGAAAAAAAGAGCGGAAAATTTCAGCAATGTGGCCCAAATGCCCAAAACTAGCAGAAAGCAGAAACAGCAGAACTATGGCGCCTAGGAGTCGGGTCATGACGCACAAGAGCCACCCTGTTTTCTTGACACGGTGCCAGGCGATGTGCTGCGAATTTATGTCATTTTTTAATCCCAAAAAGCCCATAACACTCCTAATTTGAGATGAACATTGAAGAAGGCATAAATACAACTCTTGAGGGCTCTTTCAACTACACTTTCACGAGGTAAAAGCGAAAGAGCGAGATAAATATCTCGAAGAAGATTGATTCAAGTGCTAAATAGTTTTTATTTCTCTTCTTCTCTATGTTCTAGATTATGAATTATATATTTTCTTATTCTACAATCATGAACTAAAT